GGGCCGCGCCCCCGCGGCGGGCCCCCAGCAGGAGGATCGCGCGAGCCCGGCGGCGGGCGCCCCTCCGGCCCGCTTCCCGCCCCCACGAGGCCGGGACGCCCGCCTCGACGCGAGCCGAAAGGGGCTAAGCCCCCAGGCACACACAAAAACGCCCCTAGAAACTTAAACCCTTCGCCATTTTAAGCACAAGGTTTTAATGATTGAAAACTTAAAATTGAACATTTTCCCCAACTCTAGCCCCAGGTGTGGGCGAATTTATCACCTCTCGCCACACACCCTCCAGAGCCACCCGAAACCCGACCCTCGGAACACAGGACCGGTGGGGAAGGGGTGGGGGCTGAGTCATCTCACCTCCTCCGGGGCTCTGTTCCTTAACTCCAGGTTAATCCTCTTCTTCATCTCCATGTCCTCCTCCTGCTCTTCTGCCACTACTCTCCTCCCTTCCCCTTTCCTGCCTTCCCACTACCCCCAACCCTAAAAATTTTAAAGATTTGGAAATGAATGAAAAGAAACGCAAATATAAACGCCCACTACCACCAGATAGGTGTGGGGGAGAAAGAAGATAGCAAATGGAGTCCAAGGAGTTGGGACTCTAACTCGGCTGCCCCCACCTCCTTGTCCACACACTCGCGCGCGCACACACACGCACGCACGCACACGCGCGCACACACACACACATACACACACCCGCAGTTCCTTCCCCTTCAATGGCTGCTCGGAGACTGAGCCTCCATGACACGGCACCGCCAACCCCCTGGCCTACACTCCACCCACCTCCAGAATGCATTGGTTGGTTTTTTAGCGTCACATTATTTCATTGGCTTAGGTCAACGTCTATCAAGCTTCAGGGCGGTCCTGGACCAGAAACCCTACGTCTATTGGCTACGACTAAGCGCGCAGTTAACTCCGATAGGCCCAGAAGGGTGTACGTCCCGGCGAAATGATTTTGAATCCCAGTAGCCCCCCTCCTTTTCTTTGTGTGGTTGGCGCGCTTTCCCCAGGCGCTCGGAAGGTTTTGATGCCTTTTGGATTTGGGGTTTGGTTGGTTTTTGTTTTTGTTTTGTTCTTGTTTTTTGGGTTTTTTTGTTTGTTTGTTTTTAGTGTTAAAGGGAGGGAGAAAAAAAAATCTTTGCATGCCCGAGTTGAAAGACTAATTCATCACATGGCACGCACCAGTTTTTGGCGGTTTTAAAGCTCAACCTTTGCTTTTACAGCAAAGGTGGATAGTGTGCACATCACATTAAAAGCATGCCTTCGTGGCACTGCTGTGCTGGGGACAGGCTCTTCACAGAGACTGACCGTCCGTGGTGCAGAACCAGAGCCGAGATAAAGATGTTTTAATTTCCACCACGAAAGACTGAGCAATTTTGAAAGCACTTGGGTGAAGTCCGTAAGTTAGAAACCTTTAAATAAAACTATGCTGGAGGAATTGTTACTGAAATCATTGTTGCAGTAATAAACACTGAAACCTTGGGGGGAAAACAACGTTGGCCCAGGGAAAATCAGACATTAATAACACAGCAATGCCCCACATTTCTAATTTCCCTTCGGTTGTTTCCATGGAAATTCTAAGGTAAAGCGTTCTTTAAAAGTAAGTCTAGGGGCGTAGGTTTGATAGAAAAAAAATTTTTTTAGTGACTGTTAGAATGTTTGTAAATAGGGAGAAAAGGTTATGATATGGTGAGCCAGGGCAGATTAAAAATCTGGAAAATCAAAACATACTTCCAAAATGATACAGGCAGAACTATTACCACGCATGCACAACATAAGGGAAGGTTTTGATCTTGAAGAAGATAAATATGTATATATCCTTGATTTGATTAGTACACACTGTATGAGTTTTGAAAAACCATACTGTACCTTACAAAGATATACACCGAATATATATAAACAAGAGATCATTTTTTTTAAAAGTGCGTCAGTGTGGGATGTGAATGGGAAAAGAATGATTTTTTTTAAACTTTTATCTAGAATCCAGTTTTTCTTCATTCTTGCTTAAATTCTTTCCTCATTCCCTTGCACCATTCTCAGGATAAATATTAATAATCAAAGAAATTTCAGGTGATTTAGAGAAGGCAGTGAGTGAATTAGCTCCTTTCCTTCCAGAACCATTTGCTGTTTTTGCAGTTTCTCACGTTAGAGACCTTTGGCCTTCCAACACTGACTCCCATTGCCCAATGGTCCCTGCTTCTCCACAGGAACACACAGCTCTTCAAATAGGCTCATATTTAAAATGTAAATGTTTTGTACTTTGCATTTTAAAAACTGCAAAGGAAAACAAATGGTGATTGTCTTCACAATGCTAAATGTTTCCTTTGAATTCCCTGAAAAGGAAATTTTGTGAAGATGAAGGGGTTTATGATGCGGAGGTTTTGGTACAAGATGGTACTGGCGAGGAGGGAAGATTTGGAGACCTAGTTAAGTTTTTTGGTTTGTTTATTTTAATGCAGGTTAAAAGAAGACAGAATGATATGAAACTGAAGCAAAGTGGACTGAGAAACAGTTCCAAGAAGAGTTAAAAAACAAAGGAAGGGGGGGCGAATAAAATAAAGAAGCACGTTTTAGTACCAGCCTGGGAATAAGTCCTGAGTTCTGATCCCACCTGCCGGTACAGGATCTGGAACAAAATCCAAAAAAGAGTTCAGAGAAGACTCAGAGTCTTCCACATACAACTGACAGTTAAGGCCATGAGAGAGAGAAAAATAAGATGTTCATAGGGAGTGTATATATGAAGACTATCAACCAAAGAGAGCAAAACAGGGTTGGGGAAGAAAGAAGAGGAAAGGATTATCCACCAAAGTACTCAAACTGAGCAGTTAGAAAAGAAAAGAAAAAAATAGGGTCAGTCCGTGGTGAGCAGTTAGAAAAGAAAAGAAAAAAATAGGATCAGTCCGTGGGGGTGGTTAATGCAGCTGGATCCCACACAAAAAAATAGGGTCAGTCCGTGGGGGTAGTTAATGCAGCTGGATCCCACATGGCCAGCCGTGCAGATCAAGTCCTCAGCGGCTTGAGGAACACGCCAGGTGTGTGTGCATGCGTGCTCCAAGATCATCCCAAGAGAAGGATGGAGGAAAAGGGATTGCCGTCCCCCACTCCCATGCTTTCTCACTTTCACCCTACCCTTCACCCCATCACAAGCGCGCTATAGTAAATTTCAAAAGTAGGGAAATAATGGAAGCCAAAGAAGAGATAGAGGAGGTTGAACGGTAGGGCTTTTGTACGGGAACACAGTAGACCGAATGGGAGTGTATGCTGGAAATGACGTGAGGAAAAGTCAGTAATTTAGTTACCATTGGCTAATGGCGGCAGAACATACACCACAGCAGCACAGAAAGGAATCCGCCACTGGGCCTTCCCATATCCGCCATCCCCACCCTTATGCCGTCAGTCTCTTATCTGCATACCTCAATACATTGAAACTTACCACTTTCCAGTTTCAATCAAGAAGCCAGAATAAATGGGACAAAAGGGGAGAAGACTGTTCCCATAAGCCTAGTACATAGAGAGGGTCCTGGAAAGCCGCTGAATGAAGACGGACATTACTACACCAGCATATGCATGTGTGGGGCTAAAATGAAGAGTGAACTAGTGAGGAGAAAAGCCAAACTCATGAACTAAAACATTTTAAGATGAAATAATTAGGCAGGATATGTAAGTGGTAGAATGAAGAGTGAAATTAAGTAATTAGAAGGAAGATGAAAGACAATGAGGAATGAATGAGAGGGTGGTTGAAAATACACCTTTAATCCTCCAATCAGAAGCATGCAACAAGGATATTATTAAACTCAATATGTCTTTAACATTCAAAAACTAAGCTCATCCTCTGCTGTTGAATACCTTGTTTGCCCCTCTAGATCTACTCTTCAACCTTCTCCACTCCTGCTCTGTAACCCAAAACACACATGGACTGCACCCAGGCTCTCCTAGGTCTGATCTTGGTAGGAAATCAGAAGTCAGGAAGAGTAAGGTTGGGGTGTCTTTTTCCCTAGCCGCCTCTCTGCCACATTCTTGCAAGATGGCCAAGTCCCTCCACTGAAAGCCACAGATCCTGTCAGAGCTATGATGGATACTGGGATGTATCACCCAGGTTTTCCTTCGGGAAGAACTTACTTCCCTAGCTGCTGGAAATACTACTGGAAGATGCCCCACACCATCTACCCTTGTAGTCCATGAGAGAGAAAATGATCATTATTATTTTAGTGTCTACATTTGGGGGTGTTCTGTGGCAAGAGTAATTGGAACAACTCCCTAGCACATGTTTTTCTGATCAAGTCTCACTAGCGCCTTTGTTCTGTGATGACAGTCGATGTTAGTCTGCTCTTTTTAGTTTTGCTTATGCCGTTCTTCTACCTCAACCAAATGATTTTCCCACTTCTCTATTCTCAGCACTTATTAAATGTTCTACTCATTCAGCATATTTTAAGGCTTATTTATTTATTCCATGAGCAAGCAAGAGAGAAAGAGCATGCACCCTCAACAGGGTCGTGATGCCAAGGTTCACCCCCGGTTTCAGCCAGCCCCAAACACAGACACACGCATGCCCAACGAAGTCAGGAAGGACTCCAGGCATGAACTCTTCCCATGTAGGTCAGCCTCTCAGATGTAGCATTTTACTGCCGTGCCACCAATCAGCCCCCTTATGCAGCATTTATCCCATGCTGCCTTGCACCATCCATGCAATTTAATTTTGGTTCCTCACAACCAGACTGGAATTTCCTAGTGAGAAACCAAGTCGGTAATTTAGCTTTCTCTGGCATCATTCAAGGTGCTGAGCACAGAGTGGGTACACAAGACATGTTTCATAATGTATTATCTCTCTATATATATAATTGTCAGAGGGCATGTGTGCTTACCAGAGAGAGAGACAGAAAAAGACGGAAAAGGACAAAAATACCCCATAATGGGGAATGATCACACCACAATCCCTTCATCCTTCTGGATTTGGGGCACACAGTATGTTTTCCAAGCCACCAGGTCCAGGGCTTGAACTACATGGTAAGCCAAGTGCAATCTGGCTCCTTTAAACACTAGGCCATGGTTCTGGCCCAATCATATCTCAAATAACTCTCAGACAGTAGTTTGGGGTTTTTTAGTGGTTTTTGTCATAGGGTATGTGCACGTGCCAGACAGACAGACAGATAGACAGTGAGAGGTGGAGTGAAAAATCACCCCCAAGGGGGAATGGCCACGCTGCAATTCCTTCTCCTCCTGGGATCATGAGCACGCACTCACACGCACCTGGCATGATTTCGAAGCCACTGGGTCCAGGACTCAAACCACGGTTGGCTACGTGGGAGTCCAGTGACATAATCACTATGCCATCTGCTGGCCCCTCAGGTAGTAGTATAATAATTCCAGTAGGAAATAAAGAATTTGGTTGATGCTTTCTTGGAGAACAGAAGATGGAATAGGAGTTAACTGTAGACTCCTCTTCCTCCCAACCATTCCCTTTCCAAATTAGTTAACTTGTAGTCTCAAGATAAAGCTAAGCCAGTACAACTAATGCATTTTCTGAGTTCAAACTGATTTAGAACCACCAGAAATCATTCCTACCCATGCCTGTGAGAAATCCTGTACCAGAAAAACCTCCAGTAGAGTCACTATCGCTTTCCTTAGCACCAGAAGAGATGATCAACACTCAGAGAACACCAGCAATTCCATTTGAGTCCCAGACCCGACTCACACTGGGCACATGTGTGTACGTGCCCAATATTCTGAGATGAGAATAGAGAAGAGGCTACGGAATGG